CTCTGGGTTTCTCCAAGCACATTCACTTACAATGTTTCAAGAATCAAGATATGGCATTCATCATCTCAACATCCTAATTTTAGTTATGCTCGATATACGCACATTATAGTTTCTTTGTTCCCCAACATTTTGTACGATAGAAAACAGCTGGTCTTATAGTGGTCAGGTAAAATTTTCCCTTTAGGCTCTATCTATTTCAACACAAAATGGATGGAGATGTTTTTCATTCTGAAACGTCATGGTATATTTTTGCCTTTCTTAGGATGGAAACTTTGTCTTCCTTATCACTTCAAAGCAAAATTAAGATGGGTGAAAAGCAAAGTTTTTGCTACAAAAAGAAGGAAAAAAATAATAGCTTGAATATTTCAGCGTGGAAAATTTTGTGTCCATTTTTTGGATAAAGAATGCAGCTTCGCGTAAAGGGGTGGAATTTGACCGTAAAAGGGCCAAAAATATAACTGAAATTTAAAAGGTTGAAAAGATTTCCACCCCTTCTAGGGTGAAACAAATAGAATCTTGGTTAAATTGGTAAGTTTCAGTCACATAAAACTCCAGATATACACCTCTGCTTCACCACCCACCCCGCCGCAAATCTCATGGGAAACAATCTAATAAATTTCTCTCGCTATAGACAATCAAACATATGCATTAGAAATGGTCAATTCATGGTATAATATTCTAAAACTTTCCACACCTTACCACTGATATTTGTAATAGAAAAATCGAGATTTTACCAGTGCTCGAAACAAACAACGGCCATCCCCAGTAACTTTCTGAACAGAGAAATGTTCCACCTTCTTCAATGCTGGTGAAATTCCACCCCTTCAAACGCATTCGTATGGACAAAATGAGTTCAGCCAGTTTTGCTCATAAAGTGTATAGAAGGGAAAATAAACAGGAAAAAGAGCTTAAAAACTTGAGACAGTTTTATTTTGACTTGTTTCAAAAAGCTAATTGAACCATTTGAAGAACAATTGAGTGGAAAAAACCTACAGAGATGATCCTATTCTAGCGAAGAACCGGTGACCACCACCACCGAGAAACGGCGACGGATATCTAGGACATATCATACTAGAAATCGGAGTAACCGGCGAAGAGGCGAGCTCGAATTCAGCAATTCCCTGTTTCAGCTGCTGCAGGAAAACCTCTGGGACAAAGGAGAGCTCGATTAAAGAAGGCGGGAAACATTACCAGCAAACTGAGAAGTAAAACTTATGGCTTCTCAGGTGATGCAAACTAAATGCATAAGAAGACAGTAACGCAGGTCAGTAGAAGTTACCGTTCGAAGGCTTGCTCGCCATGGGAAACACAAAGTGTTTTTCCCTTCTATCTATGCCCTAATCCTGAAATTTTCGAATTTGACGATTCGAGGAGCGCTTTGCAGAGCCAGCACAACAAGAATCCTTTTGTCTAGACTCATTCTGGAGAGTATTCGGTACGTGGATCGTTTTTGTTTTCTTTGAGTTCTCGAAACGAAAAGAGCGTTTTTGTGTCATGATTCATGAATGCCCACTGGAAAAACAGTCGCATCTGGTTTTGAAAATTTGAGGTGATTTTGAAAACTGAAAAAACCTGTTTTGAAAATTAAGAACCTTAAGAAATCTTTTAATTTTAAGGCTGCGTTGTAGAGGTGTAAAATCGAACGGGATAAACTTTACACTCCGATTGGATTTTACAAACATTTGGTAAATATGTAATTTTACACCGAAAACATGTTATCGTCGAAAATTTTCGATGTATTTATTACATCGCGCACTCTCTCCCTGTCTCTCTCCTCCTTCTCTCTTCTTCTTCTCCTTTTCTCTCGCTCGCTCGCGCTCTCTCTCTTCTCCTTCTTCTTCCCCTTCTCTCTCTCTTCTCCTTCTCTCTTCTTCTTCTTCTCCTTCTCTTTCCTTGTTCTTCTTCTTCCTCCCGATTTCACTCTCGTCTATTCGTACCTACCATCGGTCTTTAACTTTCCCCCTTCTCCGATCAGTCTTCAATCTGGGTGCTCTACTCAGCCTCCATGTCGCAAGCTTCTTCACCGATATAAGAATCGGTGTTGCAGATTTGGATCTCCTTCACCCGTACCAAACGACAATGAATCGGAGGGATTTGAGGTGTTGCAGATCTGCTCAGCCTCCATCGCTCGCTCCTTCACCCAGAGCAACATGTAGGTGCTGCTCGGAAAACTTTCAGGTACATCTTCATTCATCATGTTCTCGTCCTGGAAAGGAAGGAATTCGGTGAGCAACACGTAGAGAATGACTCCACAAGACCAGAGATCCGCTTTCGATCCGTTGTACCCTTTTTTCCTTAGAATCTCGAGGGCCACATAGGTCAGTGTCCCACACTGCGTGTGCAGGAGTCCATCGTTGAGGAGTTGCTCTCGCAGAGCAAATAACCCCCGAAATCAAAGATGTTGGGTGGCAGATTTGAGGGAGGTGAGAGACTCAAAGGTGGTGGCGTGCTAGTTTTTTTCAGTTTCACTTTCGGATAGTAAGTGCTACGATAAATGATGAGATGATTGGATATATGTTGCGATGTTGTGAAACTCATAGTATATATTGAATCTGGATCCGTTTTGTCATCTTCCATGAACAGCTCTTGTGGTGTTACGACAAGTTTTATCGTGACAGATATGGAAATGAGTCTAATTCATTTCAATATTTATTTGAAACTTCCGAAAATATTTGAACAATCAACAATGGTTAAACAATCTTGAAAAGATCTAATTCATAGTTCATACAAGTAATCTTGAAAAGATTTGAACATTAAGTTTTAATTTAAGGCTTAAGCCTTGCCTCTTTAGCATCAAACCGTCTCGCCTCCGCCTTTAGGCTAGCAAGAAGGGGACACATAGGTGTAATTTGATTAAAGGATGACAATTCAGCCATGCAAGCCCAATTTGCAACATTTGGAGTTCGAGTACTCAGCCACCTCGATCCAAAACCCACCTCGGTGTAGAGGCACCTCGACACCGAATCCAGTTCAGGACTAAAGAATCGAAATTCCAGGTCGGAAATAATGAGCCGAAACGCTACAGAACCAACTCCAAAGGCTTCCCCAACAGATCCCAAATCTCTTGAAATCACGATGAGCCAACAGATCCCGAATTTCTTGAGATCACGATGAGAACTCGTCCCGGCTCCGCCTAAATCAGAGGTAAACGATAAACCTTATCAACATATTGCTCTCCTTCAAAAACGAAAAAAACCTTATCTCCACAACCCGGAAATCTCGGATCTCTTTCGTAAAACCCACGACTACTCCAGTATATAAAGACATGAAACCTCAAGGCAAAGGTACGCGTGATTATTCTACTAACTAGCACTCAAGCTTTCAAGCATTCAGCTTGCATTCACAGCATAAGTACTGACTTAAGCATCGGAGCGACCTCACCGGGTTAGCTACCCCGGGTTTCTCTGATCCATTGTTTTGTAGATTGATCCAGCTCGCCACCCAATTGGAGTTTGGATCGCCCTCCAGCTAGGAGTAGTTAGATCGTGCACCATCAATTGGCGTCGTCTGTGGGAAACGATCAAAAGGTCATCCCTATCTCTCTACAGTTTCAAACTTAATCTCAACCTCAATGGCATCTTCTAGCCACACTGGAAAAAGAGTTGAGATGAACGTCACCGAGGGGCAAGCCCAGCAATCAACCTTCCCCCAAGGTCCTACGGTATGCATCGGCCAGTTCACTATTCCGCTCACAGCGTCCGAAGTCTCATCACTGTCCGCACCACCGAGCACCACGCAAGTGAGCATCCCACTTCCCCCGGTTGTAGGCACAACTTTCTCTGAGCCATCTGTGGTTCCCCCCGGAATAGGGCATTCCCAATTTCATGACCTCCTTCAGTGCGTCCGGGCAATTCAGATCCAGATGCAGCAGGTCCAATAGTATTATTTGTACCAGCAGTATTAACACCAGTTCCCTCCACTACAGCCAAACCAGCAGCTGGTTCCACCTCGGCACATAGGGCCCCGTTAGGGCCAAAACCCGAATCGGCCTGGAACTAACCAGAACATCATCCAATCTCCCCATCGGGAAGAAGAGACCTTACAAGTTCCGATTCGTCTTAGGAGTCAAGTTTCGCCCCGTGGGAGGAGAGATGGTCAGCACACTCCTCTAGTCTCGCATGGAAATCTCAAAAATAGGTCCGGGGATAGTCAGCCCAATCCGCCTCGGTACTCACAGCAAGAAAATGATGGCTCGGGAGTAGATAATAACCAGTTTGGGGTTCGAGGTGCGAACTCGAGACAAGGCCTCTCCATCCCTCGTGATAGCTAGTTCAAGCCCCACAACCAAGAGAATCCAATAAGGAACCAAGATCTACCTTGCGACAAGGCCGAAGTACCAGACCAGACTAAAGTCAATAGCACCAACGCCGAGTCGGTGAAGAAGCAGCAGCAGTGACGTTGCAAAACATGCCGCCCCTCGGCCAGGAACAGCCCGCTGGTGAAGCCAAGCCAGGAAGAAGAGCAAATCAAAGGAAAGGAAGAAGCGAGCTCGATGGCTACAAAAGTTGCGCCTCCACTACTTTGTCAGTCATCCCCTTTGTCTCTCGAGCTCTTGGCAACTCCAATGTCAAAAGATTTTAAGATGACCCCATTAGACAAGTATGACAGGTCGTTTGACCCCAATGACCATGTGGACTCTTTCCAATCTCAGATGCACCTATCTGGAGCTGATGAGTCCTTTGTGTGTGTGGCCTTCTCCACTACGTTTAAGGGGGTAGTCCGAACTTGGTACCGAAATCTTGCACCAGGCTCCATAAAAAACTGGTCCCAGTTCGTCGACTTGTTCACTACGCACTTCATTACCAGCAAGAAGTGTCCAAAATCACAGGAAAGCCTTCTGAACGTTGTTCATAGAGAAGGATAATCAATCAAAAGCTATATAAAGCGCTTCAACGACACTTGCTTGCAGATACCGGACCTCGACCTATCGGTGCGACTCATTGCAGCAAAGAAAGGAATCACCCACAAAGAGTTTAAGTGGCATGTGGTAGCTAACAAACCAAAGGACATCACCGAATTTCTTAAGTTAGCAGATCAGTTCATCGGTATCGAGGAGGAGATCAATCAAAAGATCGACAAACCACCGTCGGAAAAGAGGAAGGGAGATAGTGAAGGAACGAGCAATGAGGGGTAGAAAAAGGAAGAAAAGCAAGTCCCCGAGCAAGGGAAGAAGCAAGTCAAGAAGTCGGTCCCCCTTGCGAACTTGCAAGTCAGGTCGGCGCTCCAAGACCCCACCTGTGGACAGAACGAGCTACACGCCTCTGAACGCTAAGCGAGAAGAGATCTTAATGGCTATTAAACTCCTCCTTTGTCAAATGGCCTCACAGGCTAAGGGGAGACCCAACAACAAAAAACCCAAATGTTTACTGCCTTTTCCACCGAGATCATGGACACAGCACAGAGAATTACAGGAATCTCCGCGACGAGATCGAGGAACTTATCCGCTGCAGATACCTGAAGAACTTCATCTTGCGAGAAAAGAGGGGACAAGCAAATCGGCAAGCAGATCGACAAGGGGACCAGAGGAGGAATGGCCCCGAGGTTAGTAGGCAGAACGAGCAACCACTACGACAATTGATAGAGGAAAGACCGATCTGCGGGGTAATTAACATGATCACTGGCAGGTCCATCATCGCCGGATGTACATCAGCAGCCGGGAGGACCTCGGTCTTCGAGTTAGAGAACGAAGAGGAAAACCTGCCAAAGCGACCTCGGCTCGAAGAACTAATATACTTCATTGAGGACGATGCGCGCAGGATCTAGTACCCTCATGATGATGCCCTAGTAGTGAAGCTAAGAAATAATGACTTTGAGGTAAGCGCATCTTGGTAGACTCAGGCAGCTAAGCAGATATACACTTTAAGGAGACCTTCGACAAACTACAGTTACAGCAGAGCGACCTGAAACTAGCAGATACTCTTTTGGTAGGGTTCACCGGCGAGGAGGTCAAACCTCTTGGTCAAATCATAGTACCCATGGAACTCGGCACGTGGCCAAACATCGTGCGATTTAAGCACACGTTCCCGATAGTCGCGACTCCCTCCCCCTACAACGCCATAGTAGGTCGGCCCATCACGCATGTTCTACGTGCGATAGTATCCACTTACTATTTGGCGATGAAGTTCCCAACTGATTACGGAGTGGGAGTCGTGCGAGGTGACCAACTCAAATCACGCAAGTGCTACGTGGCTGCTGCAAAAGGAAAAGCAAAGCTAGTAGAGGATGTCAAGCTCGAGCGACAGCGGAGTATACCGACAAGCAAGCTGCCCCAAAAGAGGAGATGGTCCACATACCAACTCTGCTGACAAATCGTCCAAGACTCTCCAGATCGGTGTCTCGATCAACGAAGCACTTTGCTCCCAGCTAGTAAGTTTCTTATTTGAAAATTTAGATGTTTTTGCTTGTTCTGCGGCAAAAATGCCCGGAATTGATTCAAAAATTATAACTCACAAATTGAA